ATCACTTTAATTAACTAATATCCTTTAAATAATAGCACCACACATTTCAATATACAACGTGTGGCCCCGTATATGTTGAAATTATCCAACAGTTAGTTCTCACTTCTGTGAAATAAAATCATCTTTTCCGTTTTCGCATATAATTTTGAAATCCTAACGTCAAGGCATGGTGATTGTCTTATTTATAATTATATTGGTCCATATGTATAAAAGTATCAGGGTGTACATTGCCAAAACTTGATTTCAATAGAAAGGTTAAACCAATATTTACAAATTTCTAATACTAATATTTGCCCTATGCGCTAGGCATTGGTTACTTGATTGAATGGATGATTTTCGTGGTGATCGCTGTTAGGAAAAATACAAAAAGGAAATTAGAAATACTGATGGAATTGTATAAATAAAATAATGGAGGGAAATATTACAATAAATAGAATAACATTAAAATTAGAGGAAATGGTTGTTGAGGTAGTAACGATATTAAAAGGAATCGAGACATATGCTGCACAGGATATAATGGTTGAAAGTAGCTCACTAGCATCTCGTCACTATTTTATACAAATTAAGGATGTTCATAATTCTATCACCAAACTAGAACAAAGAGCTAAAATATCTAAGTTACCAAGAACTAAACTCTTGAAACAAAGATGAGAGAAACTTATAGTGAAAAAAAAATTCTCAAATTTTTGGGTGTGAAGAATAAGGAGAAGACCTCCTTATATCTAACTAAATATAAAAGAGGCGGATGTCATTTTACTGTTCATAAGCCAGATTTCCAGTCAGTCGGCTCAGCCATTGGTTTTTTTTGAGCCGGGCTCATAAAGTCTTCCTTTTTGTTTCTAGAGTATTCATTTTCTGTCGTTTCATGATTTTCTCTTTCTTCTTTCTAGATCTGAAATATTTTCTTCTACATTCCGGTTTCATCTCATCGAAAACTGTAGAATTTGTTTCTTGAGTAGTTTTTTGCGTAGTTCGAGAGTTAGGAACGGTAGCGATTTTGATTTTGATGGTAGCAATAGCCATCTTCACGCACGGCCTCTCCACTGGCGTTTTCCACTTTATCCACTCTATTACAGATACAGATACGAATATTTGTCTTTTTCCTTTTTAGTGATTTTTTTTCGTGAAACTATTATGTAAGTGCATCTATCTGTATGCATATGTATGCTTTGTGTAAAGATTGGGGTTTAGTATCGACTCATGCTTGATGCCTGCTTCATTTCAATGGATGTATAGATTTGGTTTTATACCTTAATTTCTGTGTATTTACAGTTTAGTGCTTAGAAAATTAGGCTTTGGGTTCGTTTTGTCGTTTATTTAGGATTC